TCACCCACACACACACACACTCTCTCTCACCCACACACACACACTCTCTCTCTCACCCGCACACACACACACACTCTCTCTCTCTCACCCGCACACACACACACACTCTCTCTCTCTCACCCACACACACACACACTCTCTCTCTCACCCGCACACACACACACACTCTCTCTCTCACGCAAACAGCACCGCGCCATAACGAGAAGCTGGGCCGCAATCACACCCGCTGGATGAGCAAGGAAGTGATGGTCGTTGTTGGTGTCAGCAAACCGCAGACCCTCGACCGCAGCTACATCAGGTTCGAGCTAGGGTCACGATGCTTGCGTCATCTCATCAGCCCATGTCCTGTTTTCTGTTTGCCCCTTGTTCGCGATCGTGGCTGCCTTGTGGTCATCTCCGCCTTAACGTCCAACACATCCATTGCCAGACTTCATGGCAACTAGCTTCTTGACGACAAGCTGGTCAACTTCTGGCTGGTGCGTCTCCAGCGCACGTCTGACTTCGCCACCAGCTCCTACGATGTAGGTGTGTGGCTTGGGCGGAGGGGCTTGTACTGTCTGGCTCCTGCTTGTGCTTTCATGCGTGTGTGTGTGCGTGTGTGTGTGTGTGTGTGTCTTTGCCACATGCCCTCGCTTCGTAATATGCAGGTCTTGGCTTCCAACCGACCGCGGTCGCCCACAACTCATCCCATCGACTGTGTCACATTCTGTGTTGGCGGTACAGGGCGGGTCGACAGCCTGATATGCTGGGCGAAGCGAGAAGCTCCATCCAACAAACGGTTTGGATTATCCCGTAGACATCTGCTGGTGATTCGAGATTGCATGCTGCTGAATCAACGAGGATGGCGAGCCGCGTTGGTTGTCTGTGAGTGGCTTGCCTGTGCGCTGTGCATGACAGCCTGCGCTGCCTCTTGTTGGAGGCCTCTTGTTGGAGCTTTTCCAATCCACACCCTCACGCTGTGTGTGTGTGTGTGTGTGTGTGTGTGTGTGTGTGTGTGTGTGTGCAGCGCCCAATGGTACCTGGCCATCGTGGGCTTTCTTTTTGAATGAAACCGCCCACCACTGTGGTGAGTAGGGCGGGAGATGTCTTGCCGGCACTGCCACAGCTGGAGTACCTTCCTCTCTCACACGTGAGCCAGCGCGACCAAGTCCCCATTCCTCTTCCATTCACGCCGCTGTATCATGCCAATGACTCAAACAACGTTGGCACTGGTAGCGATGATGGTGATGGTGGTAATGATAGTTTGGATCACGGCAGCAGCGCTGTGCACGATGGTGCGGTGTCGTCGGGAACAGCGACACCGCCATCAGCGATTTGCAACTCGTCGTCACAGACATCCACGTCGCTTGCGCACCTTCCGGCATCGCTCTCCGCCACCTCCCCCATCAAACGAGGACACGAATACCACCCAGCGCCAGCATTGACAACAGCAGTGGCAACAGCGGTAGCGGTAGTGGTGGGGCATGAGGCAAACCAACCTGCTGCTGTCGACGGGTGTTGGACAGGCTGT